GCGTTCTACAAGCGAACACGAAAGTGTCTTCCCCACGGAAATACTGGAGAAGTCCTTTCTCGAGCAACTGGGGGAACCTATCCTTAACTTGAGTCCCAACGTAAGGCACGAGTCATTGACTCAAGTTGAGGTCGCACTGTATAGAAACGAAAGGGAAGAGAGAAAAATGAGCCTGACTATTGAACCCTCATAGAGTTTGATTGGCCTATATCCTTTCCTAGCATCTCCTAGCTTCAGTACAGAAAAATCGACGAATTCCGAATTTTTGTTCGAGAGTAATCGCGATACGTACAGACAGACATATACATTCGATTCAATTTGCGGTGGGGTTATGGATCTGGACGGTGTTTTGAAGAGAACGATGATGACGAAGATGAGCGGGTCTATACGTATACTGGTGAGAGTGACGTAATGGAGTGGAGGTTAGGTTAAGTCAGCTCGAGCTAGCTTAGCTTAGGTCCTGCTCGGGGCGCTCATATTTCCTTGCAATTGAGAGGAGACCAACGATCACGTTGGAGATTCGGAATCATAGAAGTATGACGTGACACCTTCTGGGAGTTTTGAATATGGGATCAGAATAATGGACTTCTACACAAACATCGAACGGAGTTCGTCCATCTGATACGACCGCGCAATGCATTGCTTCCGACGACGTTGTCGATCATGGCATCGACAACTACCAACGACTTCTAGTCGAGCAATAGCATGACGTTGCCGCCGTCGAGAGCTCGGATCCAACCAATTGTTGCATCGAGGGCTAAAGCTAGAAGACTCTTCCGTATGGTATGGTATTTATTGATCCTCTCGAGCCTATATATACATACTAGCGCTCCCGATCGCCGCTTCGAGGCGACTCGGTATCGCTAGACTCACTACACATGCGCTTGCTTTGGGCGCGTGCTCTGGATGCGCGTCCCGTTTCCCCGCTCTCCCGTTTCCCCGCTCTCCCGTTCCCCCGCTCTCCCGTTTCCCCGCTCTCCCGTTTACCCGCTTTCCCGTCTCCCCCTTTCCTCTTTCCCGTTCCTCCCTTTCCGTTTCCCCCTTTTCCCTTCCCGTTTCCCCCCTTCCCCGTTTCCCGCTTTCCCGTTTCCCCGCTTTCCCGTTTCCCGCTTTCCCGTTTCCACCACTTTCCCGTTTCCCCGCTTTCCCGTTTTCCCGCTTTCCCGTTTTCCCACTTTCCCGTTTTCCCGCTTCTTTGTTCCCCTGCTTCCAGTTGCGGCGCCAGCGGGAAGCTTTGTAAGCTATAGCTTCCCAAGCTTCTAAAGTCGGGAAGCTTAGCTTCCTAAAAATTTTCCGATCATATGTTCCATCGGTTTCGGAGCATTCAGACTGCTGCTGTCGATCATGCCGGGTTGAATTTCTCGAGGTCACGAGGAAGACTTGATCGCGCACATGCGCTTGGACGCACGACCCGCACGCAACCCCGAAACGGGGGTTTTCTCTTAAATGATTGGGGATACCCCAGCTGATATCCGTCATCAACATCTGACCGAGAGCTGAGAACTTCCAAATCAAATCGTGGACGAATTCGCCAAAGGCAAAGATCGAAGAATGCCCCTAGTTGCATGACTGTGATTCAAACGCGTAAGTGAGTCGTATCTCAGCTCGTCGCTCGGAAAGCAACATAAGACGGAAAGCGGAAAGTCTCCGCTGTTTCTACTATACAATATACATAGGTATGGATCATTGTATGCATCTATGCAACACTAGAACTTGTCTTATTATGTAAATCTTTGTGTCTCCGAGCGCGCTCCCTTGTTCGGGGGAAGCTTTATCCAACAAAGATTCAAGCTTCCCAAAAAAATGGCTGGCGCCGCCACTGCCTGCTTCCCCG